TCCAACAGAAAAGCAGATTGAAAGCAAACTGGATGCATCTTGATCTAAACATTGGCACCTCATTGACTATGTCATAGTGTGTCAGCGTAACCGGAAAGACATCATGTTTACCAAAGTGATGCCAAGTGCAGAATTTCATACTGACCATTGCCTTGCTCATTGCAAACTCAAGCTCCACTCAAACTAAGAAAAGAAGAATCCCTCTCTAAAAAGTTCAAGTTTGGCAGTTTTCAGTCAGATGAAGTGAAAGCTAACTTCCAAGCAGCACTTGAGTCAAATCTTGAAGATAGGAGCATCTTCGCAGATTCCTCTCCTGAAACACTTTGGGAAAAAATCAAAACTGGCATTCTGCAAACATTTAGGTTCTCCTCAGCAAAGAACAAAGACTGATTTGATGAGGGCAACATGGAAATCCAAGAACTGCTGGTGAGGAAGAAAAGATCAAATCTGCAAGTCCGCTTAACTTAGCCAGCTTGTCCTGTAAAGTATGTTGCATTCTGTTTTGTATGCCGTGACCTCCAGTGCAGGCTTCCAGAGATCAAGAACAAGTGTATGCAGACACTGGAGACATCGGGGACTTCTATGAAGCTTTATAGGTGGTGTACAGTCCTATGTATCAGGTCCAGAGTCTGATGCACATTGCAGATAGTCAAACACTCCTTACAAACAGTGTCCATCCTAAACCATTGGTTGGAGCACTTCCAGGCCCTCTTCAGCACTTTGTCCAGAAATCGGCAATTCTCTGCATTCCCCAACAAGTAAAAATAGAACTAGATAGGTTGCCCACCATTGAAGAGACTATCAAAGCCATAAAGCAACTGAAATGTGGCAACATGGGGGTCTGGTGTTGCTTTTAATTTTCTGAGAGAACCCTTTTTTACCTTCTGTCAGTATGGCTGATGCTAACCTCCAGGTGAGTGACTCATTGTACCTTCTCAGACTAATGTTTTCAGCTGACATGAAGTGGAAAGACTATATTGAATCACTATATCTGCAGATAAGAAAGTTGGTTCACTGTCATGCTAGACATTTTTTCTTGCCAGAATCTCTTACAGTGTGCGATAGATAAATTCTCATCAAAATTACGCAAAAAAGAAAATAACAATGACATCTCATTTTAACTGGTATATTGACCAAAATTACACAAAAATATCTTGAAATACCAATGAGGAAATTTATTCAATAAAAATGCCATTGACTTCAACCTGGCCTCCAGAAGACTCTTGAATCTCTTGCATCTCTTCCGGGCGGTTTCTTTGTTTAAGTTGGTGAATGCTGCCATAATCTTTGCCTTCAGACCATCTTTGCTGTTACAAAGAGTTTTTTGGTCTCTTGCTCAACTGCATCCCAACAAATAATAATCAAGGGGAGTTGCAGTCTGGGGAATTAGGTAGCCAAATGAAAGGGGTTACAGAAATTGTCTGACAGCCATGACTAGTTCCTCCTGCTTGTGTGGCATGGTGCAGAGTTCTATTGCCAGACATAGGATCTTGACCCAGGGCAGCACTAAACCCTCAAGGCACTTGATGTAGGCCTCTGTATTGAGTCTGAGGCCCTGTGGGAATGGAGGCATAATGTCACCATCACTAGTGTTTGCTCCAAACACCTTCATAACCACCATTAGACTCATCTAACTCTTTCTGAATCCTCTGTACTGTTGTCAGATTATCACCCAAACACTCTGAAACGTTTGTATTGGAGATTCTGATGTGAATGCCAAGTAGTACGGTATTCCATTTTCCAAATTTCTGGTGGAGTGAATTGAGTCATGATGCTTTTATTCTCACAGACAGTGTCTAACTAACCCAACTATGCTGTGCAGTCGACAAAGCAAAAACAGTCGCAGACACAAAATTAATCATATAAATGGTGACAATTTACTCATCGCACCCTGTATTTATAAGTTTACTGTTCATCCTTGCTTTAAATATTTTGCTGGCACATGCTGACCTGGGGCTCCTGCTATCTATTTTCTAGATATTTTTGATAAAATCCACTGAAGAATTTGTCCTGACCTGGGATCTTGACTTCACTTCCTTTCTCATTGCCATAATGTAGCTTCCTTTTGCCATTTTTATAAATCCTTTCATGGTAATTGTTCAGATGAACATTTTGCTATGGTATTGAATTTAATCAGAGTACCAGGTTGGCAGCAAGGTCTCACTATTTTACAGTTGAAATGGCTAGCTGTAACCGTAAGTTCTATGTGAACAGATTCTTTACTCGTACTTCTCGCTTGCAAAACTCTCTTCCAGCTTTTTGCTTCCTGGTTAACTTTGATCTTCAAAAATTTTAAATGCAATAACAATCATAATCTTCTGTCTTCTTAATTCTTGTTCTTTTATTGTTCGCTCTCCTTAATAGTAGTTTTTCACATATTCTCCTGGTGGCTTTATTGCCTTACTTTAGGTGAAATGATTAAAAATGAAATATATCACTGAGGGGTATATGCATTTTCAGAGACATGATGTCATTGCAATCTGGTTTTCTTTTAGGCAAAATACAGTGATGACAAAGAAACATATCTCTGAGGCATACAAGTATTTTAAGAGAATCAAGATGTCTGTCTAATGTTTATTACATTCCTGTTTTCCTGCAGTCTTCCAAATAGTTGAAAATATCAAACTCCACAAGCTTGATTCCTCAATTCAAGATTATTTTTCCTACTTCTACTTAAAATTTTCACTTCCTACCATCTCTCTTCCATTCATACTATACATCTCATTCATCCTTATCATTTTGATTATAACTCTCTACCTTGAGTGGCTCTTGACCCTTGTATTTTGTGAAATTTATAAAAGAAAAAAAAAAGAAGTGCTCAATTTAGCAGATCAGAGCATATATTTTCAAGGAAAACAGAATTCTCATTTTGCAAGGAAATTGTGGAAAACAGAAAAGAAATGATAGCAAAAAATAAAAATAAAAAAATATCCCTTCCAGACCTGGAAAAGTTGTTTAGCTGTCTACTCCTTTTATGTTAGTAGTTTTCACACAAGGTCATAATTAACGTGGATCCTCACACATATATATGTTGGTTATCCCAGAAATTGTCCAGTTCCCTTGACATTTCCATTTTTGGATACCTTCAGATATCAGATTGACCCTGATCTCACCCTATAAGTACAATGGGGAAATGTGTTGCCTGTTGATGAGTGGCCACAGGAATTTGGATTCAGTTAATTTCTGCCTTGATGCCAAAAGTCTGTGGATAATGAAATATTTACAAAGCTTAATATAGTTTGGTACAAGGCTAAAAATATGGTGGCCCTTAGTCATTGATTGATTTCTTTTCTATGGCTTATCAAATCTTTTTCAGGCTATTTAAAACCAGAAAATATTTTTAAAGTGTAAGAATTTTTTTCTTTTTTTTTTACATAGTAATGGTTTAGTGATACAAGTCTTACTAATTAACCCATAGCTGGTGGGGAGTGGATTCTTACCTTTTCCAAGGGTATTTGTGCATAAGTGAATATAATGAACCTGACTAGAATCGGTTTTTCAATTAGCAATTCTGAACCATTATTCATTATACTGCCCACAAATCCAAGCTTACTGTACCTGCTATTTCCAAGTGGTCACTCCTCTAGGTACTGACCAAGCTCAGTGTTACTTAACTTTTGATGTTTCAATGTGATATGGCCATATGTCTAACCCGAGTCTGGATTGAACTCGCTACTACTTTGTAGTAATAGCAAGTTAGAAAAGCTAATTAACCATTAAATCAATATTGGGTCTTGAGTCACTTAGCTTATGTGAGTTTGACACAAGGCCAAAACTATGAGGTACCCAGTGAAGATACAACTTACTACTCCATTGTAATGGTCAACAAGAAAAGCCCACTTACAATTACTTCATCTTCTGGTATGTAATATTTACTTAGCACAATGCCACTAATAGGGGGCACCTAGTGAGGTTCAATCTTTTCATACATAACAGCTTCTTTGCAGAACAGGCTTCTGAGAAGATGTTTCCCTGATCACTACAATTTGTGATCAGCCATTATCTAGCCTACATATCCTCATAATTTGCATTTCTTGCTTCCTCTTCTTACACCCTTTGTGCAACCAATACGCCAAAGACCTTCACTGGTGGAACAAGCGGATGACAATTACTACAAATCTCAATGATTGAACGAGCAAATAAAGAGATCTACGCATGATGCACATGCTACAGAAGACACCACTCGAAATTATAATAGGATCAGCGGCAGTTTGTTGTAATTTCATAACTGGATCCTGCATGTGCTGCAGAGGAAGGTCATGAAATCAAGTGTATGGGTCCCTTCCTGGCTAGTTGAGGCCCGCCTTAAATTCACACCATCAGCACTTTCTTCTTCTACTCTGATTTTCTTTCACCTCCAACCAACTCTCGCATAGCCAAACAGTGATAGGGAATGGATGACAGGAGCAGATTTTGGTGGAACTGGAAGCTTCTAGTCTTGAACCTGCATGTTGGCGGCGGATTTAGTCATCAACGCCATCATCATACAGGAAACGATTAGCAAAGTAGAAATTAAATTCTTGAATACAAGATAAAGCTGCTGCCAGTATTTTGACAACATCTATACTGTATCATTCAACCCTCTACCTTGAGTGGCTCTTAGGCCTTGCATTCAGTTGGAATTTAGTTAAAAAGAAAAAGTTGTAATAGTCAACTAGAGTAGCTTGTTGACAATTATACCACCCCAAAGTGTCCTGTTATTTGCTAAGCTTAGCTGAACTTGACATGAGGCCATGAGTGTGGAGCACCCTCACTAATACAGTCAAACAGATTTGCATGCAAAACATTGCCCTACAATCCATGAGATGCCTAAGCATAGTTTAGGTTTAGTAAATGAGTACCCAGTATGGGGTATCTAGTGGGTAATGACTGACTACTCAAAAGTGAACTAGTCTGGTCCGCTAGCTATTACCGTATGCTAAGGTAGCCAATATTTACTTAGTTTAGCACAAAGCCACAAGTGTGGGGTACTCAGTGGGAATTGGGCTTATGGCTGCATCGCATTGAAACACTGGTTCCTGTAAGATCACCAAAGTCAAGCAATGTCGAGCCTAGACAGTATCTAGATGGGTGACAACTTGGGAATACCATGTGCTGTAAGCTTGGGTGTGCAGGTGGTGTAATGGATAACAACTTGGAATTGTTAATTGAGGAGCCAAGTTCCAATTCCAATTGGATTTGTTATATTCACTCATATGCAAATACCCTTGGGAAAGATATGAATCTACCTTTTCTCTCCCCAGCTATGGGTTAATTAGTAAGACTTGTATCACTAAACCATTATCATCTCCAAAAATAAAATTAATTACAAAGTCTTTAAATTTCGGCTTTAAGATTGATATACCGCTAAGCAAAAACATTTTGACTCATTATTCAATAGGAATAGTCAATCAAATTAGTATTCTTATCAGTATCCCATAGCGGTCAGCCTTGTACAACTGAAGAAGGCTGTAAAATGGTTCAGCCTAAAACAATTCTGGTAAGGAAAGCAACAGAAACAAAACTAATTCAGAATTTTATAGAAGATAATTGAAGAATTGATGAGATGAAATGCTATGATTGAAACAAAAAAGAACGAGTTGTCTGAACAAATCTTGGATTGATAATGACGGATCACAAAATTACAGACTCTATCTTCACCCCTTTCTGTACCGCAGTGTCTTTAGTGAAAGTGATATTTTCTGGATGTGTGTTTATTATCAAAATTGAACCCCTGACTACTCGATTTGCTGCCAAATGTTCTTGTGATTGGCCTAATTCCCTCTGGCATTGACAATTATCTTCCCCTCCCTTTCAACTAATGAACTTCATTTTGTTGTTGTCGCTTTATAACGCAATGTCATTTGTTCAATTATCCGAATAAGATTTCTTTTAGATTTTTACTCTACTCTGAAATTTGAGAATCATATTAAAACCGTACAAATAAATTTTATCACTGATTACATTTTCCTAATTGTAGAATGTCATGTTTTCACGTAAAAGTCAGTAATGAGGCTGGCTATTCTGGTTGAGAGCTGTAGCACAATGGTTAACAAGCTCTTTCTGAAAACTAATTCATAAGATTAGTGAATTCAGTTCTCACTTGTTGCCTCACTGTTGTTTTTTGTACAAGTCTAAACATGAACCTTTCTACTCTAATCTGTTTTTTCTGTCCATTTTTGGTTAACAAAGTTTTTGTGTTAAGTTTTCTGAAAAATTGTTTTAAAAGAAAGATTTTACAAATTTTAATCGGAAGTAGCAGTGGCTGTTCAGTCAATGATGCAAACGGCTGATCTGTGACCATTACTATCAGAATCTAATTGTAAAAACTATTTCTGCTTTAATAAAGAAAACCATAAAATTATATTTTTTCTGTCAATCTTTGGTTAATTTGATTGATTTGTCTGTTTAATGGCATATCAACTCCTTCATGGGTCATTTAATGCTGAAATTTAATTTTCTTTGGAACTTTGAAGTAATAAAGATATCTGTCTATATTTCTGAGATGAGGTATTATGTACTCTATTTAAATTATTCGGATTATTGTCCTCATCTTTGTTGCCATGTTTATCACAACGTTTCGGCCGTTGTATGCTCCAGCCTTCTTCAGATGGTTGAAATGTCAAACTGAACCCTTTATTTTGTTCAGTGGGGTAGACTGTTCTAGTTCCACATGCCATGTCTAATGGATGTCAGTTATCAGTTACCTCCTGTTAATTCCCCTCTCCAAGTTCTCCACTGCCTTAACCGGGTATTGAACTCACACTTTTTGGGTCCTGTCACTGGATCTAACTAATTCCTTTATCCACTGTGCTATGTGTCCTCAAGGAGTGTGAGTTCAATACCTGTTTAAGGCAGTGGAGAACTTTTAGAGGGGAATTAACAGGAAATAACTGACATCCATTAGACTGTGTAGTTTTGTTGAAGTTATATTTTGGAATATAGTTTTTCTTTAAGAAATTGTAGGATATTATATTATTAAATGTATTGTAGGTCCTTTTCTTATAAAATGTTTTGTTAGTAATTCTATAAAATTGTATTATTGGTCATTCTACAATATAAAAATGTATTTTTATGCTTTCATAGTGTTTTTTGTTTTCACTATTTGCCCGTAGCTGTGACCCTAATAGGTGCTATCATTCCTGATCAAAAGCCTTGCTGCTGGATGTAGTTCATCGTCATACCTAGGACTATCTTTGGTTAACAAAATGTGTTATTGACAAAGAACAAATATGTATTATTTTTTCTGCTTATCATAATTTAAATTGAATCTTGAAATTACCCATGAAAATTTCATGAGTTTCCTATTTGAAATTTCTAATGAATCTTAATTCTTCAGTTAATGATTGAATAAGCTCATTGTGAGTTCTATGACAATCAAATATCTGTGGAAATTCCCTTATCGCACTGTTAAATATTTGAGCTTAAAAACTTCAACAAAATATTGCAATAATAATTATAAATATGAATGCTGGTCAATTATTTTAAGAAGTAAGGGGGTACAAATGAAAAGTGACATTTTTCATTTCACTGAAATATCTGTTAAAGACTTCTATCTTTGCTTTTTTCTTTCTTTCATTTTTCTCACTGAAATCAAGTAGCGTCTTTTTGTCTTTAGTGCCTCCCAATAACATGGCTGATGCTAATCACCATGAAAGTGACTTGTTGCACCTTTTTAGGCTAACATTCTTAGCTTACATGAAGTGGAAAAATTATATTGAATCCATTGCTAGATTTGCTGTGTTGTACTAGACAATTTTTCTCCTCTGAATGTATCATACATATTTATAAGCCTGCTTTGAATATTGCTGTTATATCTGATCTGCTGATCCTCCTATATATATTAGAGATCCTGATAAAATCCAAGAATCAGCAATATCATTGGTCCTGACCTGGCATCTCAGCTTCAGTCACTTTCCACCACAATAATGTAGCTTTCCTTTGTCTTTTCTCTAAATACTTTTATGTTAATTGTTCAAATGAATTCTTCACTGTCATATCCAGACCTTCTGAAGTTAAGCACAATACTAAGGTCCCATCATTTTACAGCTGAAATGGCTGCTAGATGGAACCGTAAGTTCTATGCTAACAGTTTCTTCTCTCACACTTCTCTCTTGTGCAACTCTCTTCCAGCTCCATGCTTTCCAGCCAACTTTGATCTTTAAAAATTTAAATGCAATGCCAATCGTTTTCTACTGTCTTCTTGATTACTCTTCTAGTGTTCATGCTCCTGAGTAATGTTTCTCTTATTTTTTCACACTCATTAACTCCTTGTATCTTAGTGACTTTACTTTATTGTATTGTGTGATATGATTAAAAAAAAAAAAATAACTAAGTTTGAAGACGACATACTGATTTTGGGACATTTTGTAATTTTTAGGTAATGATTAAAATTGTTTTTTGGCAGATGGTTTTGGGACAAAGTTAAAAGATCATTACTCTGGAACCCATAATGAATTTATTTGTAAGTTTTTTTCAGTTTTAACATAAATTTACTAGCCATCTCCATAACCAATCTGTATAATATATACATACATCTCTTAGGAGATATATATATATATATATATATATATATATATATATATATACACACACATATCTCCTAGGATTTACATATATATATCTATCCTAAGAGATGTATATATTGTCAGCTGTCAATATACCAAATAACACCCTTGAGCACTTATCCTTGGTGCAGGTAGAATGGAGATCAACGTGTTTTAGTGGACTCAGCAGTTTTCAATCTGTTTGTCTGAATCATCTTCAAGAAGTGAGAGCAAGAACTAAAAGGTCAGCTAATCTAAAAGTGATCTCATCTCACAATCCTCACTCTTGTTCCATATGTGGCCTCCTTTGTAAATCCCTAGCGGGTATTAAATACCACTTAAGATTATTGCACAAAATTTTGTAACTGAATCAACTAAGCTGTCAGATCCTCATATATATATATATATATATATATATATATATATATATATATATATATATATAGGATAGAGCTTTTTTTTGTCTTTTTTTTTTGGGCATCATGGTCATTCTAAATGATAGTTGGGCCAGGGTTGACAAACTACGCCTACTGCAGGTGCTGTCAAAGACTGAATTTGTATTGGAATTAATTTTATCTGCACCCTCCCACTTCAAATTCAAAGTTAAGGATGACCTATAAGTCATTTAGAACTTTAATTTGTGATTTTCTTTTATGTTTAGTTAAGCTACTGAAATCCTATCATTGATTAGTGAAAAATAAAATAGATTAATTTCAAAAAATGTTACAGCAGCTTTGCTTAGTTTCTGGAAGGCATCTTTCATTAGAAAAATATAATTAGAAGTGGATACTGAACTGCTATGTAACATCAAATTGTTAATACCCAAATCATATCACATATGACCTCTATCATTGTTCAAAGTATCAGGTGTTCCCAAGCAACACCAATCTATGTTCTTACACTAGTTTACTTGCGGTTTCTTCCTGTTGCAAGCCTCCTGCAGCTCTACTACTACTTCCATGGAAAGTACTTGGATGAACTGCATTCCCTGGTCCCACCAAGGCAAACCATCACAGCAAGAACACGCCATGCCACTTACATAGTAGCAAACCACTCATATTCCCTCTGTATTCCATCAATGAGAAGTAAGTTTCACTTGAGCAGATTCTTCCCATGAACCTCTGCTCTGTGGAATCGACTCCAAAGAGGATGTTTCTCTGATCACTACAATCTGAACCTGTTCAAGTCTTAATCATCATCTTCCTCTCTTATGTATAAACTGTCCTTAATGTAAACCTCTACATCGAGTGCCCCCACCAGGCTTTGTACAGGGTGAGCCTTCTGTATAAACAAAACAAATGTAATCCAGGCTTGCTGCTGCTTTATTGTGGTGAATGAACAAACAGAGGCCTTCATCATGATTTCATATATATGTGATATATATAAAATCTTTGACATATGTGCACCAGTTCTCCAAATTCAGCAGTTCTTTTAAATAGTGTTGATTCTGAACAAGCATTCACCACTATAATGCAATCATATGTGCAGGTATTCAGACTTATGTTCTAGGAGATAAATTGTACCTTCATGTTGAAGATGACTAGAGAGTCCATCATATCTCTCTCTCTCTATATAT